TAAAAAAAAAAAAAAAAAAAAATGAAGAAAGTCTAATAACTGGATCTTTTGTTAAACAATGGCTAAGTATAGACTGTTGCATATGAAACTAGGCAAAATAGCACACTACTTTCAAATCAAGACAAAAAAGCATACATTTCAAAGCTGCTTTTTTCAACATTATATGTGTTTTTTAAAATTCAATTAAATACGACGGCAGAGTATCTTGCTCTCACTGCCGTGTCCTGTTTCCAGCCGTGTTTCTTGCAGGATTGTCTTCCATGCGTGCTTGCCGTGTTTGAGGAACAGCAGGAAGACCAAGCAGCTGGACAGAAACAGGAAGGAGTAAGTCGTAGGATAAGCTCACAGAGGGAGAACGCCAGAGCCTGTAGGCTGCGTGTCGGAAGCACCCGAGGAGCTTTCTTCAAAAACAAACTGAAGCTTGGACTCTATTTCCCAGAGATTGTGACTTAACTGGCCGGGGTTGGGGTCCTGGCAGCCCCCAGTTACAGCCACTGGTGGAGACCCTTGCACACCACCGCAAGGGTTCTGGGTTTTACTGAGTGACAAGGAAAGTCACTGGGGGGGTTGAACAGTAGAATAAGAAATCTGACAGGTTTAACAGATTTACTCTGGACTGGAGAAGTCCAGGGTAGAAGCAGAGAGACTGGTTAGGCTGCTCCAAAACTCCAGACAACCATGACACCAATTCAACCCAGAGGGGAAGCAGTGTAGAAAGTGAGAAGTGGCCAATCCTGAAAACGCTGTGAAGGTAGAACAGATGGATTGTACGTGGGGTATGAGAAAAGAGGAGTCAAGATGACGCAGCGGTTCTGGTTTGAGCAGCAAGAAAAAGAGCTGCCACTATGGAAACAGAGGAGAGTCGGGGAGGTGTTCATGAATGATGGCAATCAGTTCAGTTTTTAAAATATTAAGTTTGAGATTTCTTTAGATATCCAAATGGAGCACTCAGGTGGTCAACTGGATATGGAAGTCTAGAGTCTGGGGGAGAGATGCACACTGGAGATAAAATAGCTGGGACTTGTAGGAACATTAGATGGTATTAAAGTCGTGAGACTGGATAAGATGACTTAAGCCTGTCCCAGGCCCTGTTCCTGTAGTTGTGCTTCTGTGCCAGCAGCACCAGCACTACCTGAGAACTCGCCAGAAATGGGGAACCTCAAGTACAGACTGACCTTAATCACAGTCTGACCCTTAACAAGATCCCCAGGTGACAAGAAGGCGCATTCAAGTTTGAGAAGCACTAACCTAGGGAGTGAGGACAGACAGGGAAGAGGCCCACGGGCTGAGCCCTGGAGCACTCCCGTGTTTAGGGATTGCTCAAGGAAGGAGAAATGAGCAGAAGAGAGCAACAATCCCCGGCCAGCGATGCAAGAGGACTGAGAACAGTCAGCTGGAGCCTGGGAAGAAGTTCAGTTTCCAACTTAGCCTGCTTTCAAGGAAGTCTTGCTGGAGAGAGGGTCAAATGCACCACTGATTAGAGAGGCACTTCCCAACTTTTTCCACTCTTAGACAATAATATTCACGGTACTAGGATACACACAGAGGGTTGCTCACCACCAATCTAGGACTGAGGCTGCCCCGGCTCCACCCTTGAGAAGGAAAGGAGCTCAGTTTTTGGCACAGCTGAGTTGAGAAACTGTGGGCAAGATCTGAGTGAGAGCGCAGTGTGACAGGGCTATGACGGAGGCACTTACAGTGTGCTATGGGAGGCCATCCAAACCAGATGACAATTAGAGGCATCCCGGGGGTGTCTGAGTTAAATTTTGAAAAAATAAAGTGGGTATCTGCTAGATGAAGGAAACAGGGCAGTCTAGGCAGAGACTAGCTCTATGAAGGTCCAGAATCATGAACCAGCTGGATGCCCCTGGGGGCTCGAGGCTTGGGGAGCTGGCACGGGTCACCATTCCTTTACGTGCCTTCTCACCTCGACCACAGCCTCCTGCTTCAACCTACATGGAACCCCAACTTTCTCGACTCTCCCTGGCTTCCCTCTGTCACTCTGGGCCATACCCCATGTCTGGAGGCCCATCCTTATACACGTTCTTGTATTTTGCCACATGAGAGACTAGAGAGAATAAAAATGAAAGTTATGGAAAATACTGATTTTACAATCTTTCTAAAGTGCCTAGAACAGAGATATAAGAGCAAGCATTTAACTTAGGACTCTAATTTAGAAAGAAAGAAAAATGCAAGCTACAGTAAATGCTTCAGCAAAGGCATCCAATACCATTTAAGAATACGTAGAATTTAGACAATAAACATTGTAATATGAGACAAAAAGTCCTTTCCTCTCCAGAAGAAACTAAAGGAAAATAAAAGTGCATCTGCATCTGTTGAAGGGGCCTGAGGCTTGCTGTCACCTCACCTTTACTTCTCGTTGAACTGCGGTGGCAGCAGGCCGGCTGCTCCTGCAATTCACACGTGCTACCACTAGATGGAGGCGCCCTACCACTCTACTGTCTCCAGCCAAGGTTTACGCCTATGGTTAAGCGGTGCTAACAGGGTCTCTTGCCATTTCTGCTTTAAAAAAAAATAAAACAAATTCTTGAGAGTGCTCCCTTGACAATATAACATGTCAAAAGCCTCTGAAACAATTAGCAGTGAGCATGTGAGGTGCTCAGCAGAGACTAAATTAATGTGCCCTTGACTTAGATACAGTCACTTTTCTTACTCAGCTGGACACTCCAACATTACACAGTTGCAAACTGTTTTCATGCTTAACCATACATTGCTTATTTTTTAACCATACTAGACAGCCATATTAATAACCACTAATTAAAATATGTCTCATTACCCTTTCCACCAGATCCATATTTTTTAAAGTACTGTATGTATGGTATATAATTTTTAAATTTCTATTGATATATTATACTTTTCCTTATACAATTAAACAGTGTATTACCTGTTAAATGGGAAAAGTCCACATTTGTCTCTTTGTAATTATTACTAGACAGTATATCTAAAAATCTATTTTCATGTAATCAAATACCTAATCAAAAACATTTCTAAATATTCTAAATTATTTCTTAAGGGGGATCTGGAATATTAATATAAGACATTACAGTTTAAATTGTTTGCAAGTCAAAAAAATACTGGACAGTCAAGTGACATGGTACAAAGTCTCAGCTTTTGGTATCAGAAGCCTTGAGCGTGGCTTGCCACT